CAATGTACCTTTGGGATCCAGTCTGGGTAGTGTCGCTTAAGTGGCGTGAATTACTGACCGTCAAATCATACATGATTAATGTCGAACATCCATTTCTCAGACCATTTATGGCAATCCCACATCAACTTTGCGTACCTATTATGCAAGGTATGATGTGAAAACGTCCGATTATATTTCAAGATGCCAACTAAATTGACCCTGCAGATTCATTGTTTGCATTAAGTAGAAAATATGAACCAAATATTTTTATTGACTAAAATATGAACACCAGAACACTCAAACATCCGGCTGAAGTGCTCCTAGGGGATGTCCCTAAAGTGAGCCCACGGACCATTGAACATGGACCTCAAGATGAAGGTGACCATCCGAACTACACTCGAATCTTTAAACCCTCACAATTGCAAAATATACAACACAAAAGACATTAGTATCATTTTATTATGTACTAGCTTAAAACCTTTACTACATCCAGCTACTTACCCTACAATAGACATGTGGATCAACGGTCGCTGGCTCGGATGCCTAGGCGTCTCTCATAAGAAATGCCGCCTCGAGTCCTCGACTCTGATCCAGAGGTCGGGACCACATCCCCGTCATCCTGCTGGATCTGATCCAGTCCCCCTGTGAAAGTGGCATCGACATAATCGCCTGTCTTGTCAGCGTGAGGGTCACCACGCCCGGCAGAGAAACTATTGCCATAGCTAACTCCTCTACCCCCTACCCCTATTAAATTGTCCTATCTAAAATAAGAAAATGGTTTGATGTTCAAAATTTAAACAATAAGTGTAAATGCATAAATGTACAACAATTCAATCATCATGTGTCTTTAAAGAAATTTAGAGAAGATTTAAACAACTTTAAAACCATAAGCTCATATATATATATATATATATATATATATATAGGGTTGGGTTCACGTGAGACCAGTTTGTTTTCGTGAGACTCGTGAGACCACCTTTTTACACTTGAAACTTCATAGCGAAAACACTGTGAAGGTAAAAAAATCTGAACCTTCACAACAAAAACACTATGAAGGTTACCTTCACAGAATTTACTGTGAAGTTTCAAGTGTAAAAAAATGGTCTCATGGGTCTCACGAAAACATGTTGGTCTCACATGATCCCAAGTCTCTCTCTCTCTCTCTCTCTCTCTCTCTCTCTCTCTCTCTATATATATATATATATATATATATACACGCGCACACACACACACACATACAGGCACAAAGATATAACCATTGTGAACTATTATCTATATAACTAAGATAATCTAGTCATCAGACGAATGATCAGATAACATAGGTTCATCTTCATTAGCTGAATCATCGTCCGCGTCTTTAAATTCTTCTTCATCGTTACTTGTTTTATTATAGGGTACATCTTCCTTGTCGCTAGCTTCATTGTCGGGTATATCATCATGGTCATCAGTGGACACTATGGTGACCTCCTCTATCACAAGGGCAATAGAATCAAGGTCCTAATTTACCCTTGTGAACGCTCTACGAGTTACTTGTTCGTTGATTTGAAAGAATTGTTCTTCGTCCAAGTTATCATCATCCTCGACATCATTAGTAGATTCTACAAGTGTATATATTCCACGAGGCTTTGTCTTGACTACCTCCCACCAATCCTTCAAATCCCTTATTCCTAAAGGATATTGTATGTAATACATTTGCTCAATCTGTAATGCTAGGATGAAAGGGTCATCGGTTCCTAATATGGATTTGTATTTGATATCAACCAACCCATGTTTATGGTTGAATCTAACTCCCATGGAGTATCGAACCTTGTACTCTTGAACAACACCATAGCGTTATGCCCTACGTTGTAATAATCCACCTCTAACACATCGTCCAACAATTCATGATAGTCAACTCAGAGTTGTCGTAACAAGTTTCCCTCACACATACACCACTACTATGTGTGACCCGACCAACAACATGGTTACAAGGGTGGAAGTCTATTCTTCCACTTCTCACTATAACTTCCATTCTCATTGGAACCCGACCCTATATATAGGGAGGTTCAAAGGAAACCCCAGAAAAATGAAAAACTAAAAAACACTATGGTAACCATTCATCTGGACGATATGCACATGTGCATACAAGTAATTGAAGTTGTTTCTTGTTTTTTATGCACGTGTGCATGTTATACATAATAAACAAATTGCTTACAAAATACTTATATGAGCATGTGCATACCGTCCAGATGATGTTATTAAGGTGTTACTCAACTTTTCATTTTCTTGCGCTTTTCTCCTGAACCGGACCCTATATACATACACAAACACACACATACATACACAGACTCTTATATATATATATATGTGTGTGTGTGTGTGTGTGTGTGCGTGCGTGTGTGTATGGAGAGGTTCAAATAAAAAGTACTAAACATATGAGAAATAGAGAAGTGATCATAACCCTTGGATTAAATGATCAATTTTTTAAAGGAAGGGTATTATGGTAATTAACAATTTTATCATCCATAGAATTAGTGCCGATCTAGATATCAGCAACAAAAACACATTTCTTTGGTGGAGATTCTAATCAAAAACTTATTATCAGCTACAAGTACATTTTCAATTTCTTGTTTCCCGAACTCGATTTTCTTATAGCTTCGCTCTGTTTCGATTCCTGTAACTTTTTGGATTTTCAGCCATACTCACATAGAATAAACGAGAGACTTCTTCTCTAAATGTGTCAGAAACACTTTTGTTCGAGTTTCTAAAGTCATCTACAACGATGGAAGGCAATGGTTGTTTGTCTGTTGTTGGAGCGCCTGACTCAGACTTGGCACAATGCATGTGAATTTAGGTGAAGATGGTTCTAGGGTTGTGTCGTTATTAGTGTTATTTTTGTGAATAAACATAGGGTTTCATATATGTATTACTATTTCATTTTGTGATTGTCTAGTAAATTAAGATGTGAACAGGACCTAAAACAATTGGTTTGTAAAAGTTA